AACAGTTTGGTCCAACAATTGCTACATTTCGTAGTAGTGTTCTCAAGCATTCTTTGTTTTGTTAACTGTCTTATCTTCTAGTACATGTTTCTATTCTACAATGTCATGCTTAGTTAACTATTTTGTTCATTTGGCATGCTGTCCATTTAACTGTTTGGTTCAGTTCTGCAATTTGATTTTCATTTGCTGTGGGTACAATTTTGTATTGTTACGCATGTGAAATAAATCGAATTTGGCTGTACTCAATACATATTCTACTGATAGTATGACAACTCTCAGTTAACCTGATCAAGATATTCCTTATGTGTGTTGCAGGCAAACAATGGGAGACACTTCAGTTTACCATCGAGGTTTGTTCAAGCATGGTCCTTTGGCTAATAGCACATTATTGTGCAGTTGCAGGAATCATTCTAATATTTAGGTTTCTTACAATTTGGTCTTGCACATGTAGGTCCTGCTATCAGAGGCTTAGACCCACTATTTGACCCATTTTGCATATGGGGAAATGAGATGTCCATGAATATCATTCAAGTTAAGAAACTCAGAAAGATTGTTAGGATGAAGAAACTTGTGAAGAATAACAACAAGATCTTTGTTTGCACAACGGAGAAGACATCAGTCAACTATAGGATGGTACTAACTCTTTTACCTTGTTTTTACCCCTTGCGCCATCAGTCAACTATAGGATGGTACTAACTTTTTACCTTTTTTGCATATCTTTATTTTCAGTACTTTTCAAAGCAGTTCACCGATGATTACCTCTCAAACCACCTGCATGGTCAAGAGGCGAGGAAGGTATTCGTTCACCAACCATGGTACAATATTGAAGTCTTGCTAAAGAGGACGAAGGTTGGGCGAGCAATTATCCATAGCCACTGGCCTGAAGTTGCAAGGACATTCAACATCACTGAAGGCTCAACATTTGCCTTCAGCTTCTGTAGTTTCCCAGATGAGATTCATCTATCTATACCATGTATGATGCTACTTTCTAAAGGTTTTTGATGTTGCATGTGAAACTTGGTGTTGTTGTGTTATGGAACTGAGCGGCGAAGCTATCTGATGTAATTCGATTATGAAATCTTGGTTGTTGTTATACGGATATGAAATATCTTGTGTGTTTTTATAAGAAATATCAATTTGATTAGTACATGGATTATCAATAATAGGCTAATTACCCTGCTTATTATGGTTTTCTATTGCAGACGGTTACTCAGACAGCACCGCGGGCGATGAACTCAAACAACATGCATGGTTTCTAGAAAGTAGGCGTGTTCGATCAACTAACAATCACACATGGCTTCCGGCAGAGAACTGTTTGCGTTAGGACGCCTTGCACAAACGTTTCCACACAAAAAACTGTGTGTGATATACATACGAGCGGAAATGTTTTTCTGGGATTCACCGTGTGGGATGTACATAAGAACGGAAACAATTGGGTTTTGATGCCCCTCCAGATCGCACATGAACTCATTTTTCCCCTGCTAGTGTGCCAGGAGGGCCTATCCCCGACGGTTTTTTGGGTCATCTGGGAAGGACCCCCCTATCTCCCACGTTCACTTGGCGACGATTCCAAACACCGTCGCGGAAAGGGGTTAAAAACCGTTTGTATAGCACGTCGTTGTACTAGTGTATAGGTGTCTTCGAAGGTGTTTGTTGGGTTGGCATAGATCGAGATTAGGATTTGTCACTCCATGTATCGGAGAGATATCTCTGGGCCGTCTCGGTAATGCTCATCACTATAAGCCTTGCAAGCAATGTGACTAATGAGTTAGTTACAGGATGATGCATTACGGAACGAGTAAAGAGACTTGTCGGTAACGAGATTGAAATAGGTATGAGGATACCAGCGATCAAATCTCGGGCAAGTAACATACCGATGACAAAGGGAATAACGTATGTTGTTATTGCGGTTTGACCGATAAAGATCTTCGTAGAATATGTAGGAACCAATATGAGCATCCAGGTTCTGCTGTTGGTTATTGATCGAAGATGTGTCTCGATCATGTCTACATAGTTCTCGAACATGTAGGGTCCGCACGCTTAACGTTCGATGACGATTTATATTATGAGTTATGTGTTTTGGTGACAGAAGTTTGTTCGGAGTCCCGGATGAGATCACGGACATGACAAGGAGTCTCGAAATGGTCGAGAGGTAAAGATTCATATATTGAAAGTTAGTATTCGGACATCGGAATGGTTTCGAGTGGTTCGGGTATTTTACCGGAGTACCGAGGGGTTACCGGAACCCCCCGGGGAAGTATTGGGCCTACATGGGCCTTAGTGGAGAGGAAGGAGGGTCGGCCCCTTTTCCTCTCCCTCTCCCTCTCCTTCATTTTCCCCTCCGGTAAGAAAGGAAAAGGGGGGCGAATCCTACTAGGAGTGGAGTCCTAGTAGGACTCCCCCCCCCCCATGGTGCGCCCCTCCTGGCCGGCCGCCTCCTCCTCCCCTCCTTTATATACAGGGCAGGGGCACCCCAAAGGCACATCAATTGTTCTCTTAGCCATGTGCGGTGCCCCCCTCCACAGTTTACTCCTCCGATCATAGCATCGTAGTGCTTAGGCGAAGCCCTGCGTGGATCACATCATCATCACCGTCACCACGCCGTCGTGCTGACGAAACTCTCCCTCGACTGTCTGCTGGATCAAGAGTTCGAGGGACGTCATCGAGCTGAACGTGTGCTGAACTCGAAGGTGTCGTACATTCGGTACTAGATCGGTCGGATCGTGAAAACATTCGACTACATCAACCGCGTTAACCTAATGCTTCCGCTTTCGGTCTACGAGGGTACGTGGACACACTCTCCCCCTCTCATTGCTATGCATCTCCTAGATAGATCTTGCATGAGCATAGGAATTTTTTTGAAATTGCATGCTACGTTCTCCAATAGTTGCTAGTAGAAAGATTGAGAGAGAGCAAATGAATCAACGGTCTCTTATTCCATTGACGGTCACGGTATAGATACAAGGGAACAGATGCGAACTAAGAGGTGTGTCTGTTCGCAGGGGCGTGAGAGTGGGTCGCAACGGTTGCCGAAACAACCGCACTGAGATATTACATAGGTAGGATTATCCCTTTAATTAAGAGAATTAATTAAATCCTAACACCTCCCTCCCATATTTGCCTTCAGCCATCTCCCGAACCGAGCCATTTCTCCTTTCTTGAGTTTGATTATACAATCCTTCTCTCCATGACCTATGTATCACATGTGTAACAGAAGTCTGGGAGGAACTCATATTCAAACCAGCACCATCCGCTATCCTCTTCCTCCTCACTACCCTCCTTCCCTTTCTTCTTCTTCGGGTTACCCATCTTCATCCTCCAAAGTAAAGCCCCTCAAGATGGGTTTATCAATCCTCATTCTAACTTTAATCCTCATGCATTTTCCTATTGCATTCCCTTCTACTCCCGTATCCGCCTCCACAAATTGCCCAACGATATCGCCAATCTCCTCAACTGAATATTCATTTATCATGACCAGAGGGAGGTTGAAAACCCTGACCCAGATTGGGATATTGTTGAACTCATAATCCTCCAACCTTCTGCTTGGGACATACTCCTCCACGACGACCAGATCCTTGTCGAGCATCCATGGCCCATTGTTAGTGGCTTTCCTCTTCCCCGACTCTTGATAGAAGGTGAACATGAACATATTTTCTCCCGCCTCCTTGCAATCAACCCCTTTGACCGAACACCACACACGCCCAAGCGAAAGACAGATCGCATCCGGATGCGCCAACTTATCCGACAAGATCTTCCCCACCACATGCATCTCCACACTGTTACCCTTATTCCTGATCTTGACACTCTTCTCCGATTCTGACAACTTCAAACCCTTCTCCATCTCCTCCAACCTTTGTACGCGTGGCTACCCCTAGGGATTGGGAACACAGGGAATCGAGACGGCGAATTCGACACGGGTTAGTCGGGCAACATATGGGATCACGTCGGCGAGAAACCAGGGACCGAAGGAACCCAGGGATCGCTTCCGCAATCGTCAGACCAGACGCGAACCCCGTCACCTAGCAGGACAAACTTTTTATGAAAATAATTTTGAAAAAGAAAAAACGAAAAAAGAAGGAAAAAATGAAAAAGAAACAAAAAACAAAAAACAAAAAGGCAAAAAATAAAAGAATAAAAAAGTAAAATCGATAAAAGAAAAAATGTGGGCCCGTCCATTTCTCGCGCTACGTCGAATGGGTTTTCCGGTTAGGTTGCCGAGGAATAATGGGCCTCAGTGCTCATAAGCCCACACCATGCCCCTATTCATGTCACCATGCCCCAGCTCCGCTAACAAAGAAACCAGCTTGAAGCCGAAAGTACCTTTCTACACCCAGGAGCATAGTGAACAGTAAAATAAAAAAAGTAAAAAAAATCAAAAATTCTGAATTTTTTTGTGACATACTTCCACAAATGTTTGTTGTGCATGAAAAATTTCATCACGAAATCACATTGGTGAAAGTTGTGCAAAAAAACAAAATTAGAGCTCCAAAATGCTTTTGTAAGTAACATTTTCAAAGCATCAATTTTGTTTTTTACCACGCCTTCTACCCATGTGACTTTGCGATGAAATTTTGCATGCACAGCAAACATTTGTGAAAGTATGCCAGAAAGAAATTTTAGAATTTTTTGAATTGTTTCTGAATTTTTTTGGTGTTACTGTTCACACCAGGAGCATTTGCTCCTGGGTGTAGAAACTCCACGTCCGCTTGAAGCCAGCCTTCCCGATCACCGGCTACAGTTCCCTCGTCCTCGCTCTTCACTCTGCCGCCCGAGCTCTTCCGGCCTGCCGCACTCAGCTATCGCTCCGCCTCCCCCGCCAATTCTCCTCCGCGCGAGGCTGTCCCGCCCCGCCCCCTCCTCAAAGCAGCCTCGTCGCGCACTTCAATACATAAATACATCAACAGTTTCGCAACCACATGCAAGACAAGAACAGATAAAATGGGCGGAGTGAATCATAGTCCATAGCATCAATGCCACAAAAACCACCAAGCATGTCCTTCTTAGAGGATTTCCATCTTGTTCTTGATAAGCTGGGACCAAGCAACAGTAATCTCCACCTTAGAGTCACCAATCTCACATATACCTTGACTTATGTTGCAATATTTGGTCCTAAACGTGAGACGGCTTTGCCTAGCAATGGCACCAGACTGTGAGTAAGCTTGTATGACAAATTGCAGGTTATGTCCCAGTTCTACAGAAACAACATGCCTTGACAGATCAACGTAACCAGCTGAGCCCATTGGCATTTCTCCATCAAAATCATGAGAATCAACCAACACAACATGCCTGGATAGGGGGTCCTTAACTTCCTGTGGTGGTCAGGAGCACATAATCCGGCCGCCGTATTCAAAAGGTGATTGCCACCCTTCAACAACACAGACACTCAAGATAGTAGCTTGGACGGTTTCTGTTAGTCGCTCAAAGCTTAACTCTACCGTGCAAAAGGAGTTGCTAAAGAGCGATGTATCTAAACCTTCACGATAACCAGCAGGGTAAGTCTGGAAGTGACTGATCAATGCTTTGTCACCAGACCATGGTGTGCCCTTTACTTTGAGTTGGATTTCAAAGTCAACATTGTCCACAGCCACAATCGCACGAGACGGGCCAGTCAGGTGCAAAAAAGGATCCTGCAAGGATCATAATCGTCAGTATTGTTGAATGCAACAAACAACGACACTTGCAGGAAGAAGAAAAAGAAGGAGAAAATGAAGAACAAAATGGAAGACCGTATATTACCTCTAGAGTGAGTTCTTTGCAGTCTTCCCTTTGCCGAGAGAAGAGAATGTTACGATTGTGATCTACGGCATCTCGGGCAGCGACGACCCCGTAGACATAGAGTGGCCACTTCAACTTTCCCTTTGTTCCAACAATCTTGACAGAGTAGATCTGCAAGGCACTCATAGTGCTAGCAGTGTAGTGGATCAGTCCCAGCGTGCAATGTGTAAAGTGCATAGGACTCAATAAGGCTGCAGCACCAAATTAATCCAAGTGTTAGCCATGTTTGAACATGAATTACTTATATGCAATGAATGAAAGAAGGATGGAAGGGAGGGGGATCTGCTTGCATTGCCATTGTTGAAAGATGAATACGATGAGAAGGAATCAATGGGTGTTTAAATTTACTTACTCATGTCTTCGAAGTCATTGCGGTCTCCCCATGCAGATTCCCAGCCTTTACGGCGTCTAGCAAACAACCTGTCCTCCATCTCCATCTCCTCTGCCTCGTCCTGATGTGAGACAGAGATCCAGTTTGGCGTGTCCTTATCATCCTGCTCATGTACTTTGAGAAAGTTGGCTTCCATCTCTAATAGCTCCTTCTCAAATTGGTCAGCCATCACTAAATCCTCCAGGGTCATCTTCCCCTCCTCCTCCCCTTCCTCACATTCGAGCATCTTCAAATATTTGCGCATCTCCATCATCCTCGACGCATGCGTCTCCGTGCTTGATTGGCCTTCATCTGTCATGGGATCAATCATCTCCATGCACTCCTTGTTACTCTGGTTCTCATAAGAGTGGACAGTCGCCTGGTCGCAAAGGCCACTTATAGGATCCGCTGCCACGAAATGTTCATCCTCCTCATCAGTAATCTGGCCTTCAGGACAGTAGGCAGCCATCTGTGGCGTTTCCATGTTTAATTTACAAAGGCCCATTATCAGATCTGTTACCGATGCATCCACATGTTGCTTGGTTACCTGGTTCTCAAAATAGTGGGTGCTGGATTTGCCTTTGTCCTCCATGGTCCTCTGATCCTCAACATTTTGGTCAGCCATCTTTTTATCTGCATTCGCGGTTGAATGTAATATATCCAGGGAGATCTTAGATAACCTCTGCGCGGTGTTTAACTGATCGAAGACCTTGTAATAGGAGATAACGGGGACACTGATTTTGGCCAGAATAAATGCCATGGATGCCATCTCGTCGCACAAGGCATCCGTCCGGTGCAATATGTAACTGAAGTAGTTTAGGCGCTCGCCCTCATCCTCACCGCCGTGGGACAAATATACATGCTCGGAGTTGGATATGAATCCGGAGGCAGGTTTGATTTTCCCTGAGTCAATCTCCTTCTGGTTGCACCGCTCAGGCATCTGCTCAGAGATGCAACTGACTTGGTAGCTCACGCTCTGGGTATCAGAGTTGGGCAGATCCACGCCCTCCTGATCGGCCATGTTCTCCTCCTCCCCGACCCTCCGCACAGCAGCGAACTTTTTACGCCTCCTCACCACTATGCGTTTCGCCTCCGGAACCGAGGCTTTGCGCTGCTTCACCAACTTCTGGCATGCGATCTCGCTCCTCAGGGACGTGATCTTCCTCACGATCTCAGGGTCGAATGGAAGAATGTCAGACTGCTTCTCCCTGAGCAAGTTCACCAGGGATGCAATCTCCATGCTCAGGATCCCTGCTTCTGAAGGAACTTCCAGCTTCCGATCCATCTCCCGAGGCGTCCTCACCTCTCCTCCCCCGCCATCGATCTCTCTTCTCTTTCTTTTTAGGTTGATTGAGATTGCTAACCAGGCTTTGCCGTCTGGTATTCTCGCCGCCGCTGCAGTCTCTGCTTCCGCCAAACTTAGGGTTTCTATGAGGAACGAACGGGGGCCGTTGCTTTACGCTTATCACGCTCGACTCCGGCTCGGCCCGGCCCAGAATTTGCAAAGTGAGACATTAACCAAACTCGGATTTGCCTGGGATTAATTGATCCAAAGGTATGGTAGGTTTGCGGGTCCAACTTGTGAGGAAAACACGGAGGGGTGATCGAGGCGATTGCGAGGCGATTGCTTTCGATAGCTAGGGTTAGGGTTTTCCTGCAGTGGTGGTGAGGCTTCCGGTGGTGCGTGAAGGGGCGGCGGCGTCCCAAAACGCGCGGATCGGCGTGGATCTGACCCTACTGTGGGCGTGCCATGGCGGACAGGTTGAGGAACGGAGCGGCGGAGCCGCAGAGCAAGGCGAACGCTCCCAAGGCGGCGGCCACACCACGAGCGGCAACGGGCACGACAGCATCGCCCATGGGGGCGACAACACCGCGTTCGGGTGTGCGTAGGACGGCGATGGGCTCAGCGCAGAAAACACCACTGGGCAAACAAAGTAGGAACTCATCGCAGTCGCCCGCAGATGGCAAAGTCTCCGAGGAGGCGGCGGGGCTAACGGCGCGCTTGGGGGACTTGTGTTAACGGAGAAGGAGGCGGCAGGCTTTGTCTTCAAGGAGCCAGAACGAGAACAGGCGAGGCCGGCTAAGTGGTCGGCCATAGGAAAAGCGTTCACCCCAAGGCTCATGAACCAGCGTGCTCTCGAGATGGCGATGCCAAGGGCCTGGGGCCTCCACAAAGAAGAAAAGTTCAAGCTAATCGGAAGGAACATGTTCATGGTGAATTTTGGGAGCGAAGGTGACTGGAAACACACGCTAAACAACGGACCCTGGCAGTTTGATTTCAATATTGTGGTGCTCAAGGATTATGATGGCGTCACTAGACCATCTGAGATGGTCTTTGATACAGTGGAAGTTTGGGCTAGGGTTGCTGATTTGCCTTTGAATAAGCGTACGAAGGAGTTCGGTGAAGTGCTTGGGAATTGGTTGGGGGGTGTGGTACGTGTGGACGTGGAGAAAGATGGATTTGCAAAGGGACCGAACCTGCGTTTTCGAGCAAAACTATCAGTGCATGAGCCGTTGGTCAGGGGGTTCTATCTTAAAAAAGCTAAGGAGGACCTAGAACAAACCTGGTTTGACTTTACCTACGAGAAGATCCCGCACTTCTGTTTCGAGTGTGGACGGTTGGTTCACAATGAGGAAGGCTGTGTCCCCCCGGTGGAATCAGACCAACAATGGGGTGAATGGCTTCGGGCCTCGCCGGGTAGATCGGGATCGAGGAAGGAAGGGTCCTACAGAGGGCCAACAAGCAGTGCCAGTAGCTTTGGAAGTGTTAGATCAAGTGAAGGGGATATGGGCAGCAGGAAGATGGGATCTGTACGTGATATCCCAACGAAACGTAACTTAAACAGGGAGTTTGACAGGCCTGCTGATTCTCGCACTGGCGGGAAAGAGCATGAAGGCCAGGGTGAAGTGTCCAGCCCCAACAAATAGCGGCACGGGCCAGAGGTGGCGACGGGCAAGGACCTGCGGGATGAGCTTGAGCAAAGGAGGGAACAGAATATGCACAATGATTTGAGGCACCGCCAGATGAACAAGCAGGCTGAGCTAAGGTCGCAGTACAAAGCATACATGGTGAGAGATCATTATGGGGGAGGCAGCTCCAGTTACACCAGAGAGAAGGAAAGGAGGAGGGGCTACTATGTGAGGAAGCCGAGGCCGGAGCAGGATGTACACAGATCAGCAAGGAGCCCGCCTCGTAATGACAATGTGGATAGGAAGAGGAGGCCGAAGCAACATTGGGTAGTGAGGGGGGATTCGGTGAGGCAAGTTGGTAATGATACTTTCATTCGCGACACAAGGCAAAAAACGTCTTCCATGTTTGACCATATCTCTGAGCAGCATGACGAATCAGCGGACCCTGCGAGGCAGGGTCGCCGGTCCCAATGAACATCTTGGCCTGGAACTGTCGAGGACTGGGGTTGGACTCGACAGTGGGCGAACTCCGAGACCTGATTAGGTCCTACAACCCAGCGGTGGTGTTCTTAAGCGAGACTAAGAAGAAGGCGAGGGCTATGGAGAAGTTGAAGTGGAGTTTGGGTTTCCGAAGCGGTGTGGCTGTGGACTGTCAAGGTTTGAGTGGGGGTTTAGCTATGTGGTGGAGGGACCATCTTCACGTCACTGTTCGACCTTGGTGCCAATACTTTCTGGATGCGGAAGTAGTTTGGGAGGGTAAAACATGTAGGATCACTGGATTCTGTGGTGAACCCAATGTTGAGCATAGGAAGAAATCATGGGATGCTCTCCGATACCTGAGAAGACAAGACGAGCTACCATGGCTGTGTCTTGGTGATTTTAATGAGGCGCTACTACAGACGGAGCAACGCGGTGGTAACCCGAGGAGTTTCCTCCAAATGGAAGACTTTCGTGAGTGCTTGGCCGACTGCGGCCTGGCTGACCTTGGCTTCTTCAGGTATCCTTATACATGGGATAACAGAAGACAAGGAGATGAGAATATACAAGTTAGACTAGACCGAAGTACATGCAATTCTGAGTTTATGGCAATGTTTCTGGATACACATGTCCAGCATATAATCACAGAGGAATCGGATCATTGCGCGCTGGTTGCCAAGGTTCTGGAGACGGCTCCAGAGCGGGGTGAACGAG